AAAGGGTTAAGTATAGAAATAAGGGGTTAAATACAGGAATATAGGGTACATATAGGAATAAGGGGTTTGAAATAGTTATAAACGGTTAAGTATTGGTATAAAGGTAAGTATAGAAATAAAAGTGTAGGGGTAAGTAGATAAGGCTCATTGTATTCTTGAGATCGCTACCAAACTCTTCGTACAAAACCCCAGGTCAAACGATCCCAGTCGGATCTCGCCAGTTCGGAATAATTTCGGTCGGATCCGGTCCTATATTTGTCGGGTTCCCATCAGCCGGATTCCGGTCCGGATTTCATCGGAATTCGACGGAGCGTGATAAAATCCAACCTGATCCGGCCCGGATTTCATCGTGTTCCGTCGAATTCCGATGAAATCCTGACCGGAATCCGGCTGATGGGAATCCGACAAAAACCTTGTCGGATCCGATCGGTTTTTTATGAAAGATGTCGGATTCAGATGAAATCCGAGGCGGATCCGATCGTTTTCGATCGAATCTACAGGTCGGATTGAATCTCCTGGGACGTTATTTTCGATTTGGCAAGAGGTCTTGTGGGAAACCTCTGCTACGAAACCTTTTTACAACAGTCTAGAAGAGGTTTGGTACGAAGGCTTTTTTGGTTTCTTAAAAAAACCTTTTTTGTTTAGAGTACAGGGTGAAATTTTTGGACAAAAATAAAAGTGCTCCGACGATTTCGAAAAGTATACAAGTCTACTCAGTTTTTATGCTGATTTCAAAGATACGTTTCTTTTTGTGAAAATTCGATTTAACGCCACTAAACTCACATAACATTAGTCAAAAAAGTGCACTTTTCCGTACCGTTCGACTATTACAGTGCCCATTAAATGTATGGGACCAAATAGAAATCAAATGAGTTAAACAGGTGTTTGCACAAAAACTTGGAAAAAAATTCTTTTTTTTAAAAACCCGTTTCTCTACTATTATAAGTGACTACAAAAGTGATTTTTTTGAGGAATAAACCCTCGACAGATATACTACACGTTGTATATACAGAAATGTAATTTCTTTCCTCTTCTATATTTTTAGAAGTCAATCAAAACAATATGAAATTATACTGTTGTATAGTACTCTTCGTGGGCTATCTACCACACTATAAAACAATTCGAATGGCACTTGTATAGAGGAAGATATCTGTGAAAGAAGGTTTCCAAGTTTTTTGCAAACATCTATATATCATTTTGTAGCCCTCTCTTTTCTCTGTCGAATACTAGATAACAGGGACCAGCTTACATGAAAAAAGAATTCAAACGAGTAAAAGTGCTGTTACATTGTATGCAATAAAATCATGTCCAATCGAAGAGTAGATAAAAGTAGTGACACTACTATTCTCAATAGCTCGAAAAAGAAATACTGGTTATTATATGAACTGATACAGCATGGAATGCCTTTCTATTCAAAACAAACTGGACTTACACGATTTTCAAAAATTTGTACTTTCTAGTCAAATACTCGACAAATAGAAAAGTACTGAGAAAACATCAAAGACCTTGTAAGACTTTAATGTTTTTGTGTAATGTTTTTCCTTCAAAATGACTTTCAATAGCCAATATTTTGCTTCAATTCCATACTAAAAGACTCATCTCACTTTTCTGCATGGACTTACTAATGAACTGTCTATGGACAATTAGTGTCCCAAACTCCATTGCTTATGCATCCCAGTCCTTTGACGAAATTTCGTTATGCACCTGCCGATTATGTAATATTGTTATGCATGATGAGGCATGGATTTACCATAGAGGGGTTGCGGACAAGTCAAACAAACGCAAGTTGAACTGACGAATACGAAGCGCCAACGACTATTGCTCGCCGAAGTAGATTTGAACAGCAACCTTCATTTTGTATTTTCTTTAAACCAAACGGCCCTGCTGTCTAAAAAAATATGTACCCTTGGAAACCCTTAAAGAGTTTCCGATTTTCTTACTATATTAAACCCTTTAAGAGTTTCTGGCAAGGGTTTTCGAAGTCTCACAAACCCCAAAAAAGTCAGTGTTGGTAATATTTGAGATCCTGATATCGGAAAGGAATAAAAGATTTCCGAGCTCCCGAAAACCTTTAACGCCATATGCCAACTGAAACTTCTGGAGCCGACTACACAGATCTCGACACCTTGAGAGACGTCATAGAAACTTTATCGAACGTATCGAAAAACGATCTGTTTAGAATGCCTGGAAGAGAACAACTAAAATGAAGATGGAAGTAACCAATGTTTTCTCATACCGCTTAACATTTGTGCTTTATCGATCTGAACCAGGGTTGCCAGATTGTCTGAAAAGTCAGGACAGTGTCTGAAATTTGGTTGTCTTTCTGATTTCCTTCTGACAGTCTGATTTTCTCTGATTTTAGCACTCTCGTCTGATTTTTCCTGTTTTTGATAATTTTCCCTGCTTTTCTCCTGAATTTTGAACTTTTCTAAATAATATCACAGCTTTTTTAGCGAAATTAAATCTTATCATAATTATTCGTGTGAAAAATATTATAAATATCTTTTAACTCAAACACATTTGTTAAAGCAAATTCGAAAAAATGCAAAATTTGAACAATAATATCGAATCTATGTTACATAATCATCAGTTTTTTCTTTCATAGGATCTTATAACTTATATCGTATATATGTGATTTGTTTTTGCACTTTTTTTGTGAACGAATTTTGAGTTTAGCGAAAGAGTTCGACACTACGTGTCTTCATTAGTTTTTCCTTGTTAGCTAAACAGTATATTCATTGTATTATGCTTTTGTATAGCGAAATATCTTTGAAAATAAAGTATGAATTAATGAACAGCGATTCAATAGAGCATCTTGTACCAACATGATACCATAACAACCACGAGGTTTTTCAAAAACTGACTTTTCTGATTAATTTCTGATTTTGCAAAAAAAAATTCTGATGGTTTTCTGATTTTGAAAAAAAAAATTCTGATTTTTGAGTTTTCGATCTGGCAACCCTGATCTGAACCTAAAACTCAAAAAGGAAATATTAATTTTCTGATTGTAATACATAATTGACCATCTATCTGCTATCGATATGAACCTAAATATAAAAACAAAATGTTAATTTTGCACTCATAATGTACAACTCACCAGTTGTATCTTATCGATATGCATCTTAACATAAAAAAAAGAAAAGATTACTTATCTATTCATTATATATAACTTACCATTTCTACCATAATCGATTGGAATCTAAAAATAAAAAATAAATAAAATAGTCATTTTCTGCTTATCATGTGCAATTCATCGTTTCATTCATATTCATATGAATCTTGACGTAAAAAAAGAAAATATTAGTTTTGCACTCATTATATGTAATTTATCAT